TTTGAGGAGGGCCGGACTCTTCCTGTGCCTTTTAACTTGGTTCTCAGTCCCAAATCTGTTCTGGGTCTAGTTATGGGGGCTAAGGGTCTTTTGCTGGAGATTTTCAACAGACACAAAGCCATTATGAAGGGGTCTGAGCTCAGTGAGGTGAGGGAGATCCCTTCTAATTCTGCATCACAGTAAGAAAATTAATAAAATAATCCATTTATGTTGCTCTTGTGATTTGTTGGATCATAATTCAGTTGGGACAGAGCAAAACTTGCCAGGACAAATCTCTTCCTAGCTCCAGTCGATATCAGGCATGTTTACTTCCATTTTAAATGCTACACCTCATGTTTATCATAGATCTGAATATGGGTCATATTTGTTTGTTTGCAATTTGACATTGAACTTACTGCATTTAATCTGTACAGAAAATTATGAAGCGTCTTGTTAAGCGATACATCATCAAAGCCCAAAATGACGAAGAATGTGATGAAGTCAATGAAGGTGAGTGTATTTAAGCTTTCATTAAGGAATAATTCAGAAAAATACAACAGGTAAAATAAGTATTGAACACGTCACCATTTTTACCAAGGTACTGTTGACATGAAATTTTCACCAGATGTCGGTAACAACCCAAGTAATCCATACATGCAAAGAAAACAAAACAAATAACTTCAGAAATTAAGTTATGTATAATAAAATGGAATGTCAAAGGGAAAAAGTATTGAACACGCTTACTGAAATTTATTTAATACTTCGTACAAAAGCCTTTGTTGGTAATGACAGCTTCAAGACGCCTCCTGTATGGAGAAACTAGTCGCATGCATTGCTCAGGTGTGATTTTGGCCCATTCTTCCACAGAAACAGTCTTCAAATCTTGAAGTTTCTGTGGGCCTCTTCTATGAACTCTGATCTTTAGTTCTTTCAAAGGATTTTCTATTGGATTCAAGTCAGGTGATTGACTGGGCCATTCTAGCTGCTTTATTTTATTTCTCTGAAACCAATTGAGAGTTTCCTTGGCTGTGTGTTTGGGATCATTGTCTTACTGAAATGTCCACCCTCGTTTTATTTTCATCATCCTGGTAGATGGCAGCAGATTTTTATCAAGAATGTCTCAGTACATTTTTCCATTCATCCTTCCCTCAATTATATGAAGTTTGCCAGTGCCGTATGCTGAAAAACAGCCCCACACCATGATGTTCCCACCTCCAAACTTCACTGTTGGTATGGTGTTTTTGGGGTCATGTGCAGTGCCATTTGACCACCAAACATGGTGTGTATTATGGCAATTAAAGAGTTCAATTTTGGTCTCATCTGACCAGACTATATTCTCCCAGTAGTTCACAGGCTTGTCTAAATGTGGTGCAGCAAACTTTAAACAAGCTTCAACATGCTTTTTCTTCAACATGGTGAGCGTGCATACAGGCCACGGCGGTTGAGTGCATTACTTATGGTTTTCTTTGAAACAATTGTACCTGCTAATTCCATGTCTTTCTGAAGATCTCCACAAGTGGTCCTTGGCTCTTGGACAACTCTTCTGATAATTCTTTTCACTCCTCTGTCAGAAATCTTGTGAGGAGCACCTGGTCGTGGCCAGTTTATGGTGAAAATTTTGGTCTCATCTGACCAGACTATATTCTCCCAGTAGTTCACAGGCTTGTCTAAATGTGGTGCAGCAAACTTTAAACAAGCTTCAACATGCTTTTTCTTCAACATGGTGAGCGTGCATACAGGCCACGGCGGTTGAGTGCATTACTTATGGTTTTCTTTGAAACAATTGTACCTGCTAATTCCATGTCTTTCTGAAGATCTCCACAAGTGGTCCTTGGCTCTTGGACAACTCTTCTGATGATTCTTTTCACTCCTCTGTCAGAAATCTTGCGAGGAGCACCTGGTCGTGGCCGGTTTATGGTGAAATTATGTTCTTTTCACTTCTGGATTATGGCCCCAACAGTGTTCACTGGAACATTCAGAAGTTTAGAAATCCTTCTGTAACCAATGCCATCAGTAAGTTTTGCAATAATAAGGTTGCGAAAGTCTTGAGAGAGCTCTTTGCTTTTACCCATCATGAGAGGTTTCTTGTGTGACACCTTGGTGATGAGGCACTTTTTTATAAGCCATAAATTGGGACTGAACCAGCTAATATTAATTTCCACTGACAAGGGGCAGGATTGTTTTGTAATTACTGATAGATTTCAGCTGGTGTCTTGGGTTTGCATGCCTTTTTGCACCTCACTTTCTTCATGTGTTCAATATTTTTCCCTGTATCATTCCATTTTATTACACATCTTAATTTCGGAAGTTATTTGTTTTGTTTTCTTTGTACAATATGTATGGATTACTTGGGTTGTTACCGACATCTGGTGAAAATTTCATGTCAACAGCACCTTTAGAAATATATTTACTGAGAAAAATGATGACATGTTCAATACTTATTTTACCTGCTGTATATATATATATATATATATATATATTTTCAGAGCTTGTTTCACATTCACTATTAACTGTCACTGTAAGAAAAAAAAAGTTTTTATTTTGTGTCCCACTGAAAAAATAAAAGCAAAGGGGTCTGGAACAAAGCAAGTGTAAGGAAATAATGCATTTTTGGGTGAAATATGTCTTTGTTTTCACTATAAAACTATATATGCTCAAACTAAATTTTATGAGTTATATTTTTCATAATTCATACTGAAAGCTGCTGTGTTGCAGGTGAACTGAAGGAGATTAAGCAGGACATTTCAAGCCTTCGCTATGAGCTGCTGGAGGAAAAGTCACACAACATGGAGGAGCTGGCAAAGCTAGTGAGGACGCTTGAAAAAAATCTCTCTCAGGACTGCTTGATACTAAAGTCTCATTAAAGAAGTCAGGCGACTACGTTTTTTATTTTACAGAAGCATATAATTAACATATTTATCAAGCAAGACAATTTGCACAAGGACTACTTCTCTGCCTTGGCCTGCTGGGTTAACAGAACAAAGAACAGCTGTTGAGCTTTCCATGACTGTGAAGAAACATTGTTTCTGTTTTGGTGATACATTGCTGAATTTTTTTTAAATATGATAAATATGCACAATTTACCGTTTAGATTTTTTTTTTTTGTCGGCAAGTACTCTAATTCACATGCAACAAAAATGTAACTTGAGGGATTAAAATTTATAGCAAAAAATAAATACATAAACCAAAACATCTGTTTTAGTTTGCATGTAGTAAATGTAAAATATTTAGTGAAACAAATTACAAATTATAAATCTTAATTCTTATAAATTTAGTTCTTCATTCTCTTTTAGTAACTATTTTACATTTTATTTTACTATCTATTAAACACACACAGGCATGCGTATGTAATTTGTGTCTAGAAAAAATTATAAACCTACAAAATTAAAGAAGGTAATATTGCTAGGTAAAAAAAATTATGTTGCAGGAAATTTAATCTCAAATGTCATGATCACATTATCAGATCAACATCATCCCTCAGTTACAGAAAGTTCTGTTCGAACACATTGTTAATAATTTTTCTTTGTATCAAGATCATCTATATTGCGACAGCCTACTTTTTCAGCATGTCAAATTCCTTTTTTCTCCACAGGGGCTCTTTATGTAATATGCTTTACTTCTTTTTTTTATTTTTATTTTATTTTATGTGTAACAAGAGACGTTCTGTTCAAAAGGTTGCAGTTAAGCTGAACTAAGCATGAGAGGAACTCAGGATCATTTACAGCATGCAGATTTAAAGTTTCACAGTCACGGTGTTTGAAATCCATCACAAAACACTCCAGAGAATTTGTTTGACTCTGCGGAGTCTGATACAATAACACATGCTGCCGAGTTGGCAAAGCCTTTTGATAAAGCCTGTCCAGGTCTAAAAAAAAGAAGCTTGTCATTAAATCCTGGGAAGATTTATTTAATTTTTTTATAAAAGCTTATAAATCATTTTATGTACCTGAAAGGTTCATCTTTGGCCTCCTGCTGTTCACATGTTGCAGTGTCTATTACAGTCATGAAACTGTATTTCAGTTCTGGAAATCACTTCGCTGGTCAACCATGGACTTTCAAGTATTGAGGTTAAAGGTCCCTAAGATGATGATGTCAGAGATAAACACCAGCAAAAATCCCTGCAAATGACACCAAAGGGGAAGTTAGGGGAATTAGTCAGATACTGATTGTCAACAATACTGTGTGTCATGCTTTATGTGTGTGACTGCTTACGCATTTAGTCACTGAAGTGTACATGATGTATTGTATAGTACAAAGGCAAAGTGAAGTAATGTTTTCAAATGGCTAAATGTGGAAGTGTTGTCACATTTCATGTTCTCTCAAGTGAACACTCACAATATAATGTGTCGTGTCTATAGAATGTAAAGCAGGCTTAACATTCTATCGAAAACCTTTTAGATTTGAACTCAGGTGGCAAAGACAGCGATAGATAGACAGACAGACAGACAGAGACAGATAGATAGATGAAAACAGGTCAAAACACAACCAAAGGAACCCAATCAGTAAATAAACTGACATTTTAATAGTTTAAAAAACAAACAAACATTACTTTGTAAATGATGTTAATACTAAGTATTATAATCTGTATAAGATATATATTTTTTCATTTCAACATACAGAAATGCTAAACCAGTGTAAAATAAAATACAGCAGAACCATTACTTGAACAACTGCATTTTTGTGAGCACAAACTAGAACTAATTGCAACTAAGACAAACTTTAAAAACTTTAACACCGTCGGAAATATTTTCTTGTTTTTGATTGTACTTCATTAAGAAAAAATGCACTATATTACGCTCAACAAATATATTCAGTATAAGCTGAAATATCTAAAGAACACTACAAAACTGACAGCACATTAGTATAATAAAATACGTTTGCAGTATATAAGAAATTTTTGGCTCATAAAGTCAGTTCATTCAAGACATATTTTGTTTAAATTTAGAAGAAAAATGTTAAGGACACAAAAAGGTTCTTATTAAAAAACAGTCGCAACTAAAAGATACCAATTTTCTATTTAACCTTTAGAAATTGTATGGAAAACATTGCATGTATTTGAAAACATTTTCACCAAAAAGATACAGCAATTACTGAAATGAAAAATGACCTGCATCTACCAAACATGATTCGACTTTTGGCATCACTAAAAAGAAAGTCAATAAAACATACTTCCAAGAATTTCACAAATGTCACATTGGGAAATACATTATCTTCTGCTACTTAATATGGTCACTAATTAATGCATATGGTACAGGTGCAATTCTTCCTCTATATAATACAAATCCATAGTTTCTTTCAGAGCCGTACCGCAACAATGATCAGAGAGTTATGAGCTCATGTCTACAGTTTTGAAATATCAGAGCCCATCATGCAGGGCCACATATAAATACAGAAATGTGTTAATACAGTCAACTGCATGTACCTAGATGGTAATAAAATCTACAATACATTTAGGACAAAGGTGATATTTACATTCTGAATAAACTTGATTATTTACAACAGTTAATGATCTGGTTATAATATTAAGCAAAAACTATTTACATTCAGTGAGGCAGAAATGTACATATAAATGATCCCTTTTTTTTGCAGAAATGAATACCATGGATACCATGGACTATGCTTTTGCCTGTTCTGGCCCCATCAGAAGAATGCCACATAATTATCTGGGATGAGTCCGGTTTTGCCATCATATGTCGCTTGGAGCCAGCCAGGTTCCACTGAGGGATACACTGCATGAACATAAAAACAAACAGTAAAGAGTCAAATGCAGCAGAACTGAGTACACAACATTCTACACAGCCTTTCATGTTTCTGTGTTTCCATCTAAAAGTAAAGTACTGCTCACACTGTATCCTTTGAAACAGAACACAGCATGCAGTTTTAAAGAGAATGTGTGGATACCGTTGGAGAAGTGCGCCCCCTGAGGAAAGTTCAGCTCATGACTGTGCTCCGCTTGACAGGAATACAAGGCTTTAGCCTCTCTGTAAAAACACCAGAGAGTTAGAGAAAAGACAACTGCGGAAACGTACTAATATCTCTGACAACATCAACAACACACACTTTATCTTTTGACCCTGTTGGCTGTTCTTAGTACAGGAAATAGAAATTCAGTTATATTACACAACATTTGAATGCCTGTCATTTAAAAGGTTCTACACACATTTACTTGATTATGTTTTCAGTGACCAACCCTCAGCCTTTTTATATCACATAAATAAAAAAAAAAAGCACAAAACAACAACCAACAACACCTGAACTAAACAGAACAAAAGTTTGGGGTGAGAATTTTTTTAAAGAAAATAATTTCAATAATTTTATTTCATTAAATTCATAAAAAGTGTAAATAAAAACTTTTATAAGGTTACAAAACACTTCTATTTCAAATAAATGCAGTTATTTTGAATTTTCTATTTATCAAATAAAGTAATTCTAAACTGCCATAATACTTCAATATTACTGATTTTACTGTATTTTTGATCAAACAAATACAGAAACATTTTTTATATTTTAATCGACCCCAAACTTTTGAACAGTGGGATAGAACAGACCTAAGAGCATAAGTGAAATTTAATCACAACTGTATTGTCTTTCTCAGCTAGGCATTGCGGAAAAAAATGTGAAGATTCCATTTAGTCCTGGAAATAAGTAATAAGGATAAATAAAATGTAATAATACTCTTAGTCTGACTCATTACCTTCCCGTTGTGCGCTGGGAAATCACAGGACTCTCAAAGATTGCTGCCCGGGAGGCCACACTGGGGGAAGAAAAAGCATGGCGCAGTTGATACATCAGTGATACATCAACTAAGATCAGTGTAACAAACTGATTTTACATTATAAGATCAGTAAGAAGGTTCTTGCTTACACAGATCCCGGTCTCTGGTAGCCATTGCTGGCTGAGGAGTCAGCTCTGTATCTCACCGTCTCTTTAGGAGGAAGCTCTGGCAGATTGAGGGACTTGAGACCATCTCTCTGACTGCGTGACACCAGGCTCTGAATAGAGCCGTGACAGCTTCTGAAACCTGAGCGTAACCACAAAAAAAAACACACATTACAAATTGGCAGAAATGCTTCATTCATACTTGAGGAGAAATTCAGTGCAAAACTGCAGGGAGAATGAGTTCTGCTGATGGCGTTGTTTATTTGCACATGCGGTTTGTGTGGTTCTAGACTGTAATGACTTGCTTAAGTTCCTCTATTGTACGTCGTTTTGGATAAAAGCATCTGCTAAATGCATAGCTGTAATTGTTAATGTTTGTGAATGGTTAGTGGATAAAATGCAAGATTTTGTGCTGGGTTTTGAGGCCATGACACACCAAACTGATATCAAAGAACTAGAGCCGATAACAGCCAACTGTGTAGTCCTCATGTTGCATGCATCTGGTCTAAAAAGTTGCGCTTGAACACATTGCAAAGGCCGTTGCATGTCCATTATGTGCCTGCGTTAGAGAAAATAACCGTCTACACCAGCAGGTGGAAGTAGTCTATACTAGTCATTCATTTTGGGAAACTAGGACCGTTTTTTACACTAATGATTGATGGTTGAAGAGTAAGGAGAATAACCTCAATTGTACCCCACATTTGAAAACGCTTATTATTGCATTTATAGAGTGAATCTTTCGGTGATTGTTTACAGTGTAACGGAAGTCACACCTATAACTCACACAAACTATCTTGGGGTTTAGGAAAAAGGTGGATAAGTCATGTTGATCACTTATTTCATTTCAGAAGGTCATGAAAATATTTGCGTATTGGAATGCCCGTAAATTGCGCAAAAATGCAGGGAAACTTATTTGTTCTTACCCTCAGAAATGTGGAGTGAAGTGAGAGAAGAGCAGGTGGACAGACTGTGTCGTTCTTCCTCATGATCCTCCAGTGTCTCTCCTAGGGTTGTCTGGAGGAGCTCTGAAGCTGGAGAGCTTCGATCACCTGGACTTGTACTCAGCGCTTCTTCCCATTCTCCATCAGTCTTGTTGGCGTCCTCTTTGGAGCTGGAATCAGGGCTGGTGGTGCAAGCCGGGCTTTTGGGCCCGTTGGAGGAGGGAGATGGAGTGGTCCAGCACAGACTCCCTGATGCCTTGTGTTTGGTACGTGACGGGGAGCCAGTCTTAGAGCAGCTGTTCTGCTCTGAAGAGTGAGACGAGAGAGACTCCATACTGCCCATGGGAGTGCTACTTGGACTGCTGCTGAACGTGTCACCTGATTGAGAGAAGGGGTTAGGCTGACACTCTAATAGAGGGACTAATGTCTGTATTTGGAGACACTCACTGTCAGCATCAGCTAGGCACAGGGTGGGAGGGTACAGGCCTCTGGATTTGCGGGACCCTGAGGACAGGCAGATGGCTTTGCTGCGGCGGGCACTGGCACTGGCACGAGACTGAGAGTGAGACTGAGGCTGCGGCAGAGGGACGTTAGGGTCTGGAGCTTGATGAAATATCTAAGAAAAAAAGACAAAAAGGTACTAAGCGTGTTTTTGATCCAACCAAAGAACATTAGATTGAGAATTAGATGAACAAAACTATATAAAGACAGATATTTGGAGTTGAAAAGTAGGGATGCACAATCTATCTGTAACATGTTGGTTTTCACTAGACATACACTATCGTTCTAAAGTTTGGGGTTGGTAAGATTTTGTTTTTAAAAGAAGTCTCGTATGCTCATTAAGGCTGTGTTTATTGGATCAAAAATGCAGTCAGAAAAGTAATATTGTGAAATATTGCAATTTAAAACAATGGTTTTCTATTTCTATTTATTTTTGAAGTGTTATTGATTCCAATGATAGCAAAGTTGAATTTTCAGCAGCCATTTCTGTTTTTGGACGATCCTTTCAGAAATCATTCTAATATGCTGATTTGGTCAAGAAATATTTATTTTTATTATCAATGTTGAAACGAGTTGTGCTGGTTAATGTTTTTGTGGAAACTGACAAATTTTTTTTTACAGGATTCTTTGATGAATATAAAGTTCGAAAAGAACAGCATTTATTTGAAATAGAAATCTTTTGTAACATTATAAATTCCTTTACTGTCACTTTTGATCAGTTCAGTGGTCCTTGCTGTATTAATTTCTTTGAAAAACAAATGTTTCTATATTTATTTTACATTATTATTTATTTTTTTATTTGTTTTGTTTTTATTTATTCATCTATTCATCTTTACCTCTGCTAGCATCTAATGCTCACTTAAAGAAAAAAAGAGTTATAATTTAGTAACACTTAAATGTAATCTTTAGCTAATCTCAAAACGAATATCTGATACTGTCCATTATAATGTTGTGATGCCTAAATTCACTTATAGCATTTAGCATTGATTTTAGTATTAAGCATTTTGTTTAATTTACACAGTTTAAACAGAATTGTCCATTTATTGTTTATTGATTATTTTATTTTAATATTGGTGCATCCCTGTTGAAAAGCCTTGTAAGGTTATTCAGAGAAGCAATTCTCATCATTTATTTGATAATTTGTTCCTCTATCGGCATGCTTTCTATTAAAAGATCATTGCTTGCTTAATCACCTTGTCGTAGTTTTCTATGAGGATCTCTACCACAATATTCTGAAACTTGATGTTCATCATGGCAGCAACTGTCTCTTCTTGAGAGCGCATGAGTGTTGGGCCAAAAATCACACCCAGGTTAGACACGGTCATCAGATTCTTCTGACTATGTGTGGAAACCCTGTCAAAAACAGCAGAAAAATAGTTTCACAAACACCTTGGTTAGCATCACCTTGTGGAATTTGAAGTGCACACATGAATAAATGTACTAGACGTGCAGTTTCTACTTCAAGAACCAGAGTGACGTACACATGTAGATGTTTTATCAGAATATCCAGCATCTCTTTATTCTTCTCGGGGAGCTTGTGGACGAGGGCGTGAACAGCACAGACCCTGTAGTTCTGATCATCAGACTCTAGAAAAAAAAATTAAAATAAACCAAAGGCATCCAGTCATTAAATAAGCAAATCACAGACGGACACGATGAAGAGTTAAAAGAGCAAAGAACATGCTAGAACTCACTGACTGCCATGATGAAGTCTTTGTGGAGTCTGTAAGTCATGAGGGGCTCTGCCAGACACCTGCAGGGAACAGAATGACTTCCTGTTTTTCCTTGATAACATGCCATTTTAAAAAATGAAATGTTATGAGGATTATTTAAAAACCTGAGGTAATTCTTCAGGCCGCTGGTGATGGTCTTGTTATCCCAGGTGTCTGGATCAAGGTCCATATCTGCAGGAGCTTTGGCCGCTGGAAGGGTCAAATGAACTTGTGTTAAATGGAATTTGGCTTCAAACACACATCTGGTAAAGGTTACTGTAAATAGTGTGTATTTCTAACAGACAAACTATTTTTAAAACAATACAATAAAATTGTACTATGTTAAAGTCTTCATGTAAAGAAATGTACCAGGTTTCTGTAAGCAAAAATAAAAAAATGGTTAAAGGGATAATTTGCCCAAAAATGAAAATTCTGTCATTAATAACCCTCACCCTCATGTCGTTCCAAACCCGTGAGACCCCTAAGAACACAAATTAAGATCTTTCTGACCCCGCATAGACAGCAATGCAACTGAAATGTTCAAGGCCCAGAAAACGTAGTAAGGACATCGTTAAAATAATCCATGTGACATCAGGGGTTCAACCGTAATGTTATGAAGCTACGAGAATACTTTTTGTGCGCAAAGACAACAAAAATAATGACTTTTTTCAACAATTCTTCTCTTCCTTGTCAGCGTCCGCCGCCATTCACGACAGTACCACAACGCATGTGTGTGCATTCCTCTGCTCGTAAACAAGGTGTAGTACATGCGTGTTCTACATCAGCAGCACCACACACATGCGTCTTGGTACTGTCGTGAATGGTGGCGGACGCTGACAAGGTAGAGAAGAATTGTTGAATAAAGTCATAATTTTTTTTGTTTTCTTTGCGCACAAAAAGTATTCTCGTAGCTTCATAAAATTACGGTTGAACCACTGATGTCACATGGATTATTTTAACAATGTCCTTACCACGTTTTCTGGGCCTTGAACATTTCAGTTGCATTGCTGTCTATGCGGGGTCAGAAAGCTCTCGGATTTCATCAAAATATCTTAATTTGCGTTCCGAAGATGATCGAAGGTCTTATGGCTTTGGAACGACATGAGGGTGAGTAGTTAATGACAGAATTTTCATTTTTGGGTGAACTATCCCTTTAAGATTTCTGTACCAAATACTGAGGTCATCAGTCGCTGGACTTTAGAGTTAACTCCACCTATTCTGTACAGCCCCATTGTGTTGATGCCTAAAAGAAAAAGACAATTTGGTAACACATTATTTTACGGACCAATTTTCACCTTTAACTAGTTGCTTATTAGCATGCATATTACTAGCATATTGGCTGTTTATTAGTACTTACAAAGCACATATTAATGCCTTATTATTCCGCATGACCATATTTTAAATCCCTTAATCTTACCCCACACCTACACTTAACAACTACCTTTCTAACTTTTAATAAACAGCAAATTAGTAGTTTATTGAGGCAAAGGTCATAGTAAATAGTTAGTTAATATTGAGAATTGGACCTTAAAATAAAGTGCAATAAAATGCAATAAAACAGAAATATTCTGTTAGTTTACCAAAAGCTTTAGTTCATGTAATATCTAAATACACTGGTTGTATAAAGTTAATTAAATAAATGATTAAGCATTACTGAATTAACCTGATTCAATTTAGTTACAGCAATGAAAGTCATATTTTTGTTCAGACATACACTATCACTCAAAAGTTTGAGGGCAGTAAGATGTTTTTTTTTAAAGAAGTCTCTTCTGCTCGTTATTTGATCAAACAGCAACAGCAATATTGTGAAATATTAGTACAATTTAAAAAGCTGTTTTCAATATGAACATTTTTTAAAATGCAATTTATTCCTGTGATAGGAATGTTGAATTTATATTAATATGTCATACACTGCATGAAAAAAGGTGAAGATAAAAGCAGACTAACCTCTGGTTTCCACAAGCTCTATACACTTCCTTACAAAATTAAAGCCTGCTTCATTTAGGAATGCTGTAGACACAGAGCGTTTATGTTATAAATTTGAGGCCAATTCAGGTGAACTATTTTTGAAAATTCTTATGACTTAACATGCACATGGCCAAATGAAACAGTTCACCTCACTGTATATACACCTAAATGACAATTAAGTAGAAGGGAGGAATGAACTTACTTTCCTCTTTCTTGCTCAGAAGTGCTGGAAGAGTGTAAATCTAGAAGAAATCAGCATATGTTTATAACACACTAAAGAATTTTTGGGTGAACTATCCCTTTAAGATTTCTGTACCAAATACTGAGGTCATCAGTCGCTGGACTTTAGAGTTAACTCCACCTATTCTGTACAGCCCCATTGTGTTGATGCCTAAAAGAAAAAGACAATTTGGTAACACATTATTTTACGGACCAATTTTCACCTTTAACTAGTTGCTTATTAGCATGCATATTACTAGCATATTGGCTGTTTATTAGTACTTAAAGAGCAGGTCATATGGTATTTTAAAGTCCTAATATTGTGTTGGAGTCCCCTACAACAGGTTTAAATGCATTGGCTGTTTATTAGTACTTACAAAGCACATATTAATGCCTTATTATTCCGCATGACCATATTTTAAATCCCTTAATCTTACCCCACACCTACACTTAACAACTACCTTTCTAACTTTTAATAAACAGCAAATTAGTAGTTTATTGAGGCAAAGGTCATAGTAAATAGTTAGTTAATATTGAGAATTGGACCTTAAAATAAAGTGCAATAAAATGCAATAAAACAGAAATATTCTGTTAGTTTACCAAAAGCTTTAGTTCATGTAATATCTAAATACACTGGTTGTATAAAGTTAATTAAATAAATGATTAAGCATTACTGAATTAACCTGATTCAATTTAGTTACAGCAATGAAAGTCATATTTTTGTTCAGACATACACTATCACTCAAAAGTTTGAGGGCAGTAAGATGTTTTTTTTTAAAGAAGTCTCTTCTGCTCGTTATTTGATCAAACAGCAACAGCAATATTGTGAAATATTAGTACAATTTAAAAAGCTGTTTTCAATATGAACATTTTTTAAAATGCAATTTATTCCTGTGATAGGAATGTTGAATTTATATTAATATGTCATACACTGCATGAAAAAAGGTGAAGATAAAAGCAGACTAACCTCTGGTTTCCACAAGCTCTATACACTTCCTTACAAAATTAAAGCCTGCTTCATTTAGGAATGCTGTAGACACAGAGCGTTTATGTTATAAATTTGAGGCCAATTCAGGTGAACTATTTTTGAAAATTCTTATGACTTAACATGCACATGGCCAAATGAAACAGTTCACCTCACTGTATATACACCTAAATGACAATTAAGTAGAAGGGAGGAATGAACTTACTTTCCTCTTTCTTGCTCAGAAGTGCTGGAAGAGTGTAAATCTAGAAGAAATCAGCATATGTTTATAACACACTAAAGATAAATACTATTTAAAGCATATACATTAATGCATTATATTGCATAATCCTTATCTCTTCACAGAAAATAAATTATAGGGACGAATATACAAAATACAATTTATAGTTTCACAATATAAACATACATGCACTAATATTCCTTTGTATATAAGAAACCAAAAACTCAGCTAAATAATAACAGTGTAATGAGGGTCAAATGAGTTGAAGCCAATCAACTATAGCTGACAGCATGTGAGTCAAAACAAAGAGCCATTAGCGAAGTGTAAATTCTCAGCTGTCATCTTTTTCCTGTCCATGTGTACACGATCCACTGCCTGGAGTTCAAAGAGCCTGTATAATAACAATTACAAGTCTAAAATGCAAAAAGCGAGTCAGTGGTCTAAAGAAAAAAAGAAAACCTCTTTAAAGTGTAAAAATAAAGACAGTTCAAATGGGTTTCCCTGTCTGTCATCGGTCAGCCAAACAGATACTCTCTACTTGTGCCATTGGTTGAGCCAAGAAAAAAAGACTGCCACCCTTTATTTTACTGTCTTTTACAGTTTTCTTTCAAGAAGTCGTAAAGTTCTTGTACTATGAACCGACATATGTTAATCAAACCGAGAGCAGAGTCTCATTTAGGCTGGGTGGTTGCTCTTACCGGCTCTTTTCCATCCATGGCCTCCATCCACAGTCGTCTGTTGGATTCAGAGAGAGCCTGAAGGGTGATGATCCCATGTCTGTGGGACACACTGATACATGTTAACTCTCAACTACTAGTGCAAGGTATCAGAATTTTGCTTTTTGTTTCTTTTATTTATCTGTTTCGAACCAGGATTTTTTTTCTAAGCATCATGCCTACGAATAATGAGTTGTTTCCAAAGCCTGCGAACCAAATCCATACGCTGCAGTGTAGCAAAAAGGAAACAGATTAATGCAAGCAGTATTATGTAGCAGTTTTTCCTTCACTGCAATTCACCAACTCCACCACAGCATAAGAAATCATATTTTCCCTGAGTTGCGAGGTTGGAGACTGAATGAATGACATGATTTAAAGGGCCAGCTACCACAGAATGAAACAAACACACACCTTTCGTTTGTGTTATCAACACTAGCTGTACACAAAGCCAGTCAAACAGCGCTAAAATTATGGTATGAATAACAAACCATGGTTCTTATAAACTGGTTCTTTTAAAGGAATAGTTCACCCAAAAATGAAAATTTGCTGAAAATGTACTACCCCCTCAGGCCATCCAAAATGAGTTTGTCCTTTGCAGTGAATGGGTGCCATAAGAATGAGAGTCCAAACAGCTGATAAAACACACAATAATACACAGGTAATCTACATGACTCCAGTCCATCAATAAATGTCTTGTGAAGTGAAAAGCTGTGTGTTTGTAAGAAACAAATCTATCATTAAGAAGTTTTAACTTTAAACCATCACTTCTGTCCAAAATATGAGTCCGTACTTCATAACAACAGTTCCTCCAGTGAAAAAGTCCATTCCCTGTTGTCCACTCACATCAAAATCCACCAACATATTTGTTTAGAACTGTATTGGACTGTTTTTGCTTGAGCTTGATATGCTGCGCATATTTCTCTCCTTATTCAGACAAGATGACTTCACTGGAGAAAGCAATATTATGGATAGGCCTTGTTAGCTGGAAGCAACAGTTTGAAGTTAAAAGCATCTTGTTGAATTTATTACAAACACGCAGCTTTTCACTTCACAAGTTGATGGACTGGAGTCATGTGGATTACTTGTGGATTATTATGATGTTTTTATCAAGTGTTTAAACTCTCATTCTGACGGCACCCATTCACTGCAGAGGATCCATTGGTGAGCAAGTGATGTAATGCTTAAACTTATTTAGAAACAAACTTATTTACCTCTTGGATGGCCTCAGGTGAGTAAATTTTCAAAAATTTTCAATGGATCAGTCAAAAAGGCTGATTCACTAGTTATAAGTCTAAATAAGGGGATAAGCGTAAGATCAGTTATTTAATTAACAATCACTTATTGAACAACATGTCTAAATTTAAATTAAGTTTGTTTTTTGTAAATAGTGATAGAAAAAACAGCAAAATGTCACAAAAATGTTTGACTATGTTTAAAGCACTGTTATATAGCATTAAAAAGTAACTTAAATACTCCACGTTCAGGGGAAGGAAGCTTGTTTTTATTAAAAGCGATTTTATTATTATTAGAACACGCCAGCAGTTTAGGATAAAAGTGCAACATACCGATGGACTTTATAGAAACATTGCAGATAACTGAACAGAAGCCCTTCACAGGGGTTACCTCTTCAGTTATGAGGAGAGAAAAGAAGAAATGGAAGAAAGGAGAGTATTGAAAATGACAGACTGAAGAAAGAACTAAACACAACGTAACTCTCGTCTCCTGCAGCTCGCAAATTTCTCTCAATGTCATGTGTGCCATTATGTGAACACACCTTTCCACCACCTCAATGTCAAAGCAGAATCGCTTGTCAATTGAGTCAGTCCTCCGTCTGATGCAGGACTTCAGCTTAAACATCTCAGCGGGGCTCATGATCAGTCCATTCTACACAATACAAAACAACACAAAACAAAAGATATCTTAATATGGGAATGAGAAATTAAGCCAATAGCATTTAAATGCTGAACATTTAATACCTGTTTTCCTCCAGATTTGAATTCAGAGTTGCTCATCGTAAACATTTTGGTCCCTTTCTCATACGTGCAATAATGTCGACTCCATGTGCACCCCAAGGGTCCTTCAACAGAAAACAGGTTATCATTAGTGCATATGAATTGTTCCAGTGAACAAGAATTTATATACTGTATATTATACATCTATTTCAAAATCGGTATTCTAAATGTACTCAACCATTTGGTGTCAGTAAGTTTTTTTTTTTAATGAAATTAATCACACTGAAGAATGGAGTAATGGCTGCTGAAAATTCAGCTTTGCCATCACAGCAATAAATTACATTTTAAATATATTGAGACAGAAAGATGTTATTCTAAATTGTGATAATATTTTACAATATTACTGTTTTTATGGTATTTTTAGACAAATAAATGCAGCCTTGGTGAGCATAATGTCAATTTGTAAAAAATAAAAACACACTTAAATTATTATTTTTTTAAAATCTTTATTTCTTAATTTAAAAACTATACATTTATTTATTTATTTATTAATGTAAAAAATTATTAATATATGATTTTATTATTAGTTATGACCTGGACATGCTCAGGGGAATACTCACGCTTCTCCTGCACATAGAGGAAGCCCTCCATGGTCCACTGTCCTGGAGCTTTAAAGTCCTGCTCTGCAGACCTTATCCTTCTCATCAAATTCTCAACTTCCTGTCTTGTGCTCTCGAAATTATTTCTTGTCTTCAGAGGGAACATCAAAACAACAGTCGATTGGCTCTAGAGGGACATCACTGGACTCCAAAGTACAATTCCTTCCATATGCAGCAATAAAAACTGGATATTCTATTATACAGCGTACAATTCAGACAATCAACAATTTTATGACATGTTTAGCACTACACAATGGCCTTTATACAAACATAATGCCTTTGTTGGCTTATTGACAAACCAATATGTCAGACCAGGTTATCCAAAGACTCTTACATTCTGCAGGTTGAACTGCAGCTGTTGCTTGTATGGCTCAAACTCATGTGCCAGTTCGTAACCCTCATGGTAAAAGGTGAATAATCCCTGGAGGAAGGCCAGCAGCTGCGAGAAAGACAGTTTGATCAGTTGTATAAAAGCAATAACACTCATAATCATGCAGTATATTCAGAGGTTGTTAGAGATGCAGGATGTGGCTATCATCATCATTTTCTTTCTGATGTTACAAGATGTAATAGATTAAAAAGCAGTGTAGCAATTTCCCCTCAGTAACAGGAAGTCTTCTTCGTATTTCTCATCTCCCCAAACAAAAGCTGCATTCATAGAACTGCAGAAATGGAAATAGGTGTGTCTTACCGGCTCTACAAACTCAAACGTTTTCCTTTCTTGCACTTCTTGGATTTTGAAAACATATTCCAGGGAGGCGTCATAGAAAATCTGTCTTTCCTTATTTATCTGGGTGTCTGCCTATAATCAAAGCATTCAGTGAGGGTAAAAGAAATCGTTCAAAATTGATGTTATATTCTGGATATTTTATTTCAATAAAGGAACATTCAAGTTACCTCCTGCAAAAGTGACTCTTTCTTTCTTGAAGACAGGCTTAAGTGCTTCTCCAAAACCGTGTAATACTTCTCTGTCTCCTTGTCAAATTTCTTCTTCCCTTCCTTAAAAAAAAAAAAAAAAAAGGTTGGAATTCCCTGCACTGTAATTATTATGATAAATAGTTATATAAAACGTTACACTTGTAAACAAACACCATATAGGAGTCTCATAAAAACATTAGGAGAGTTTTCATTTGTTTATTTTCATTCGATAGGCCAAAAACTAATCCTGAAATCTAATAACCAGTAGATGGCAGCCTCACATTTGACTTCAAGTGACACTTAGTTCACATTTAATATTCTGCTGAAAGCCTGGCCTACAGATTTCCACCAAATTCAAAAGGACATTTTTCATTATTAAAATAATAAATTATATACATTATATATAATATAATATATACATTATATATCATATATTTTTAACAGAGCAGCAATTTTTTAAGTAGAAATTATGAATCTGAACAACTATTTATTGTGGATAATTTGACAATCTAGTATGAACCAGCAAATACAGGGAACAAGGAAATAAATGAGTGACACAAAAGCTCAGCTGAACAGGAGTAAAGTGTCACTTCAGGACATGTGTGGCATGCACACGCTTCCTTAGTCACTGAGGTACTATCAGTGATGAGTGTGATAAAGCCGATGATTCTGAGTACCCATGTAACCACAGATAAATCAACAAACACAGCGTGTATTTTCAATTCTATGGGAATTCCTATGGCTCTAGCTGAGGCTCAGTAAAGTTGTTTACAGTAGACAAGCCCCCCCCACTTCCTGTGCTCACACTGATAACACCTATTTACATTAGGCTAAGTGCTTATATGCCGTAGCAATGAGAATCATTTTTTTTTTTTTTGAGACTGCAACTGAAACCAGTTTGGAGATGTTTGTTTTTCCTGTTTGACATCAGCCCAACCTTTCCCATGACCCTTTAATGGACACGCCGTCTAAACCACAGACTGGACTGCCAAACAACAAACTGATGGAATCTCATTTTTGACATGCTTAGTCCAGTTTCTAGGCCCAACTGCTGGCTAGCAATGACATCATTCTCTCTAGGAATGTATGCTTTCTGTTCAAAGATTTTAAAAAGACTTCTATGCAGGGAATTTTTAAGAAAAATATCTATGCATGAAAGAAACACTTCCAAAAGTATCATAGCAGAGGTAGCCAAACCTTTATAAAAATTTTATATTTATATTTATATATA